TATTATTAGTTTTTTTCAGGAGAAAAATAGAGAGACCTTGATACTGCTTAAAAAATGTCAGACTTTCATTTAGCAGGTTTTAGAGTTACAAACTAATTATCAACAAAAGAATAGTATAGATTTCATGTACACCTGACTACTGACAGGTTCTGTCTGCATGCATTTACATCTTGCATGGATAATCCTATTTTCTTCCTCTATCGTCAAAGTGGGACATCCTTTTACATGTTATACATGTCCTCTCGGTGTTAATTGATGTACTGAGTATGACTTCAGTTAGGGACACCTTAATGTTTCATCCTGACAAATTAAAACATTTACAAAATTGCACCTTATGCACAGGATGCTCAGGAGCGGGAGCAATTTAGGGCTCCATGCATGCAGGAACTTGGGTTTAACCCCAACCTTTTAGTTGAGAAATGATCTACTCTACCACCTTTTGTGGTAGTCCCCTCTACAAACCAGAAATGCAAGTTTAATGAGATATTTTGTTGAACGTAATATGGACATGTCAATCATTTCAGGAAGCTGTTAACATGTTATAAAAACTGATGCCCTTGAGTGTTTCATGACTCATTTGTCCTTTAAGGTTGTGTTTCCCAACCTTTTTTCCTTGGAGCCCCCTCAACTTGTATCCAAGAAAAGCTGAGTCCCCCTCATGACACACACTAGAAAGAGCTGCTGTTAGAAATACACATCAAATCTTATTGTTTTTATTGATAGAATTAGAAAAACTATATGATTACATGCCAATGTTCTTACCAAGAGACCTTTGTATTAGCTCTCCAGTAAGTTTGTTACCATGACTCCAGATAATATTTGCAAATCTAATGTTGTCAACCTCAGAGCAGACAAAAGCCTTGGGCACCTGAGACCTTTTTTTTTAAAGATTTATTTTTTGGCTTTTCGTGCCTTTATTGTAGAGATAAAGACAGTGGATAGAGACAGAAATCAGGGAAAGAGTGGGGAATGACGTGCGGGAAAGGAGCCACGGGTTGGATTCGAACCCGGGGCCGCCCGCCTGAAGGACCACAGCCTCCATACATGGGGAGTGCGCACTAACCACTGCACAACCAACCAGCACCCCAGCCAAATCTTTGGCGGTCTTTCCTGGGACCCAGGTGTGTCTGGAGCCCAGGTAGGGAGCCAATGTAGAGGTTTGTGTAGTAGCAATCTTGGATATCTCTTGGGGTACTGGTACTTACATGCCTTTTATTGTCCCATGAAAAATCAACCATAACCAAATTTAGCACACATCATGATGCAGATATTCACAGAGTAAAAAAAAAGGAAACCCTTGCATGCACAAAAAACTGTGTCCTTTGAGATGCTTTTGCCAATTAGTGGTCTTTTGTGTGTGTTGATAGCATGTCTCTACTTGCTTCAACAAATGAGAGGCAGTGCTTTTCACACCTTTGTAGTGTTAATGACTCCATTACTTTAAAGCAATGTTTTAAATAAAGTGGATGGACAGCTTAGATGAAAGGAGTAGATGCAGCAGACAGCATAGAAGTATAGAAGAGTTTCTTCCGACAGATCAGAACATGTGATAATTAGTAGCCTTTGACACTCGACCTGCCACGAATGAGTAGCGACATCACAGAAGGAATCCATGGCAGGCTAATTAACCGAACATGCTAATGAGATGATTTGTCCATGAAGCTGACTGTAACCACAGAAGTAATAGAGCAGAGCTAAGGGAAGGATGAGGAAGGAGACGAGCGGGGCAATCAGTATCTATGGAGGGTGATATTTAAAGGTGATTAGGGCTAATTTACTGATGCTTCCCCCTGGTGATCTGCGTGAAAGCAGATGGAAACACTTGTAGGTGAATCATTTACTCAAATGTGACGGAACAAATAAGTAAAAGCTCTAGCTTGCTTTGTAAAAAAAATAAAAAATAAAAAAACTGAACAGGACCGTCACTGTTATTTAGGCTCTAATAGAGGGTCTAAGTATTTTTTTTTAAATATTTGAAAAGACTTCAGTTCTAATCTTAATTTATGAAAGAGGCCAAATTGTTACCAGAATGTTATCAGAATATTCCGTCTCTGCTGTTAACAGGCAGAAAATGCCTTCTTTCCAGTTCTGTGATTGGTGGTAAGGCCTCGAAAATATAGAGGGTTTATGAATGACACAATTATTCAAACGACAGTATAATTGACCAATCACATCTTCCATCTTAGTGTTATTATTGACTTTACCGTCACGTAAACTAGCTTAAGGTCAAACATTTTAGCTGGCTAGCTTTCTGCCACAATAGCCGCAAGTTACGTTACTATAACTGAGTAGGACATAGCAGTGAAATAATAACACACGCTGTTTTCTAGATTACCTTTATAAATTAAGTAATTTAATAGCTCAGGTCGCCATGCCAATTTATTTTATTCTGGCTGCCCCATCCACTGTTTTATTAAAGGTCACATATTATGCAAAATACACTTCACCATGTTTTTCTAACACTAATATGTGTCCTTAGCCTGTCTACAAACCCCCTCAATTATGAGAAAAGTCCATCCTCTCCGTCTTTTGCCTGCTCCACTTTTCAGAAAATGTGTGCTCAAACAGGCCGTTTGGAGATTTCTCTTTGTGACATCACAAAGGGCAGTAAGGGCAGTAAACCCAGGTGGGCGACACTCCCACAGCTAGGTGTTTGTTCTGCCCTCTGAGTCTGCCTTCTTATCGTAAACAATAGTGCAGGGCCGAGAAACCCAGAGCCACATGCCCTTCCAGAGAGGGGCGTGGTCAGACACAGCTGATTTACATTTAAAGCTACAGGCACAGAAACAGCCTGTTCTGAGCAGGGTGAAATAGAGGGGTTTATAGACATGATCAAATACAGGATCAAAGTGAATTTGTAACATGAAACTTCTCAGACATGTTTTGGGGAGCTCTGAGGCTGATTTAAACTGGTTGAAAATAAGAATAATATGTGACCTTTATGGTTTATTTGTGAAAAAGTAATTATTTACAGTTCCCACTCAGTCAGTGAATTGTTGTCAGCATTTTCTGAAAAGGCACTTGTGAGGTGCTGCAATTGATTAAGCTTTGTACCTTCTGTTTCAGAGGTATCTAACCCTAACCCTAATCTAGATCAATGTAGGCCTGAAAGTCAGTATCCTTGAGATCAGGCTTCATAGGCTCAGGTAGTAGAGCTTGTCATCCACATTGTTGTTCAATCCCTAGCTACTTGAGATGTCCTTGATCAAGAAACTGTACACGATGATCTTACTACATCCTGTGCCATATCTGAATGAAGTACATTAAATTCCTATGGGCATCTGTAGATTTTCATCCTAAACACTTTTAGAGATTAGAATGCTGAGTTTGTGCAGTATAAATATTGTCTATTGAACATTTAAACAGCTTCAAGTCTAAACAATATGTATAACGGTTTTAATAACGAGTCGCGTACTCTTGAACCATGTATAATTATACACCATGCATTTTCATGAGTTGTTTGCCATTTCTCTGTAACAGCAATCAGTTGCATTTAATATGTTTTATCTCCATTTATGCTTAATTATGTAACAGGAAAAGTGCTAGGTGCAATTGAGCTGTTCCCGCTCCCATTTTGACACATCCTTATCTCAACCAGACACCCACCTCTTTCTCTGCCTTTTGCCTTGCTTTCGATGTCCGCCTGGGTTATTTTTAGCTCAGTCCAGGGGGAGCGGGCGAGGGAGAGAGAGAGAGAGGGAGAAAGAATGACACAATCCTTTATAAATGGGGGGATGAGAGGAGGAGGAGGAGTAGAAGGAAGAGGAGAAAGCGTGGGTGCTCATTTGAATATTCATAGAAACAGCTGCGTTCACAAAGGTACTGAGATGAAGATAAGCATGCATGCATTGGTGAAAATCAATAGAGGCCTCTGCTGCTGAGTGTTTTGGTTGAAAAGCCTGGGCTAATAATTGGAGCATGCTAATTAGATGTTACATGGGACAAGCCAGTTCTGTAGTTTCCCCGTCTCCATAGATTCTGGCAAATCCTGAGCCTTTGTGAGTATTATCTCTGGTCCTCTGTGAGCTTGACACAAGAGGTCTGACATAATTATGATTACATTTATAGTTCATTCTGTTACTTTGTGAATATTTTGTTGTTCCATCCACCACTTTGATCCAGACATTTCCATTGACCTATGGATGGGATAGTATTGTATTAGTGTATTGTACCCAGTGGATCTTTTGGTTTAAAATGACCACCATGTGCCATTTCTTTTTTTTGAAAGATCTGACCTTGTGATCCTCTAACTGTCACCCTGTTTGTCGGGTCAAAGTTGGAAACTTTCCGTTTGTTGAATGGAGAGATTCAGACATAATAGTTTATCGTGTCCCTGTTACTGATGTGGAATACTGAACCAATAAATCACTTCAGAAACTGTACAGTATCTATCCAATCAAATGTTTGGTTGAGGTAATTGGGCTGTTTAAGAACACCCAATGTGGTTTGAATCACCCCGGATGGTTACGACAGAGTGCTTGAATAGATCGTTGTGGGGGAAATGGTGGACCCATTGCTTGGACCTGTTGCTAACCTTGTCCAACCGCTCTACATGGTAGCCCTCACCTGTCTATCTATCCATTATCTTTACTGCTTTTTCTGTTCAGGGTCTTGAGGGTAATGGAGCCAACCCAGCTCATTGGGTGAGAGGCGGGGTACACCCTGGACTGTTGGCCAGTCAATCACAGGGCTGACATGTAGAGAAAGCCAGCCACTCTCAAATTCACATCTATGGGCAATTTGGAGTCACCAATTAACCTAACGAGCATGTATTTGGACTGTGGGAGGAAGCCGGAGTACCCAGAGTGAACTCAAGCATGCACGGGGAGAACATGCTAACTCCACACAGAGAGGCTCCAGTCTGATGGGAATTGGAACCATGGAACCTCCTCGCTGTGATGCACCCGTGGCTAATCATTCGCACCACCATGCAACCCCCCCCCACCACCACCACCACCCCCAATCACCCAGCATCGTTAAAATAAAAAAAGAGACCACTGTAAAACTTGCTTCCAAAAGTGAATTTTGCATTTAATCCAGTGCTTTAGCAGTTCACGGTAAACAAATGTAAATCTTACACACATTAAAGAACAAAAAATAAACTTCTGGATAAATAGATTTGGTATTTCTGATCATTTACAAAAGGAACGGTATCAAATTGTCACCTACAATATTCATGCCCATCAAAACACTCACAAACTCGGTCGAAAAAACACGTTTGCCTCTCTTGGGCTACTCTATCACGGTACCAGTAGTACATTTACTGCACCTAACAGAGACATATTGATGTGGCAGGTAAAGGTCACTCAGAGGAAAGCTGGGCCATGCCTTTGAAGTCAAAGTCAAGTGACCAAACGTCAAGTCAAAACCCATGTATACTAACAGAGTGTGATAAAACTGGCTATAATTATAACTCATATGTACTTCACATCAGTGGGACTTTTGGCTTTCATTTCATCAGATAGTTTCCTTTTTTAATTTTAGAATGATTACAATTAACACACAGAATCTCACTTGATATAATCATAGCCAGAGAGCCCTGAAATAGAAATTAAAACAGCAGTTTGGGCAAATGTCTTGAATAGATGAATACTGCACAATGGATCTAAATTTGCTCTGTCTACTCAAAAATAGAAGATATATAAATATACATATAGTCTTTACAGGCTGTACATTGATGTTCATAAGACACTCACTGTTGGCTGTACATTCAGAACTGTGGCTACACTTTTACCTCGACTCAGTATCTACAGCACTTCAGATATGTCTTCATAAGAATACACAGTATTTCAGGACAAACAAACATGTGCACAAGAATGAACACATCAACACTGCCAGGGAGTCATCTCAGGTTTTATGAGCAGACTGTGAAAGCTCCCCATGAAACAGGATTATCGATATGTAGGAGGAAAACCAAGAGAAACTGAATTAAGTGGAAGTTTGGTGCGCACGCCCGCATAAATTACACTTTACAACAGCTGCTGCTCCACAGGATAACAGTCGCAATTGCATGCAAAAGATTTGACCGCGCCTGAGGCCCCGTAAAGTTTTCCTTCTTTTTGTTTCATCAAATAGATGGGATCGAATCTCAATGCTCAAATACAACAACATTGCTACAGCTGATGAGTATCTGCTGGGTCATCCTTGAAACCATATGAGCTGCTGCTTTAGACCATACACTAACTGTTGTAGTTGAGAAATGCTACATCTTGGCCCCACAAGAAAGATTTGATCTTTCTGTGGTTGTTGTTTGACAGCTAGTTAGTTAAAGTATCTGACTTTTATTCATGTGATCCTAGTGTACAGTGCTCAAGAAAGTACAATATCCAGGACAAATGCATTGAGACGGGTTTTACAATAGCTACCATTCTGTTATAAAGCTAACCTGCTCCACTGGAAATTGTCGGTTAAGTCTTGTGCCCATGGGAAGGTGTTGGGCTGATATCAATTTTCAACACATATAAACAAAATAGTAAACCCTTCCTTACAAAGCAGGGGAAATGAAAGGCAAAAAAAGGAGGGAAATTTGATTCTTCTACAATGCTCACACCAATTGGGTCGCCTCTGTTTGGTTCAGCATAAGGCCGTATAAGAGGAATCAGGTAGAGGCAAGGACAAGGATGAGCTGTGTGCTTTTCTCGGCTGTTGTTCTATAATGGGATTTCCTTGTCAATACAAAACTCCTCATGGACAGGCCAAGAGGGCTGAGGAAAGCTATTTCATCCGTGGAGACTGAAAACGTAGTGGAATTACCTTCAAAGCTAAATACTTCACGGAGTGCTGGTTTTTCTATTGATCCGGCACAGCTGGATTACGTTTTTTCCCACCGTAAAGCTTGGTGGCAGGAAGGAAATTAGTTGACCTTTATTCCACAAAATTGCAGGCAAGTGCATGTGAAGAGTTTTTCACCCTGGGGAAAATGTGCTTTACACGCTCGCTCCATTCACATGATTTTGTTTGGGTCCCTGCTTTCCTTTCATACACAACCCCCGACTGCGTGAGGCACTTTCCTCTAATGACGCTCTGGAGCAGTCAAAGACTAGGAGGTTCAAGTCTAAAGGAGGGAAGATAATGTTTCATTTATTTCTTTTAGCCATGCCAGATTTTAAATCAGGCAGGGGCGTGAGGTCCTGACATTGGTGGGAAAACTGTTCTGTCAACCAATTGCAAAGTTTGGACTAGCAAACATGAAAGACTTACAATTCCTTCCAGACAGTTCCTCATTTTCCAAGTTTATTCAGATGTTCCTCACAGGCATCTGTTTATAGACATCACCTTCTGTCAGGCACACCTCTTGAGGGAGACCGTGCCCTGTCAAACTGCAGGGGAGGTGTTAAATAATATTTCTCAGGCACCTATCACTCTGTCACTCTTATGTGACACCAGAGGCCAGTCTGAAATAAATTATATGAAGTATGCTCCAGGCTCTGTGCTCCACTCGAGCCCCAAGAAATCCATAATGGGAAAGAAAATGAGAGAAAAAAGGAAGTTCTGAGCGAGGCACGCTCAGGGTAATAATGGACCAATGCTACATTTGCATTTTCTACTTTCCTCTACTTGTTTAGTCAGCAGTGTCAAAAGTTTTTACCTGCCTTAATCTCATGTATATTACTCAGCTCTTTTACCTGCCTTATCACCTTGTCATGATGCATAGAAGAAAAGTGTGGATGTTCCTACATATGTTTTGTATTCAGTTGAACTTCAATGGCTCCCAACTTACTATTATCTGGTAGTGAGGTTTCGCTCCATCACAAAATACCCTGATCAGTACTGAAGAATCCCCCTTCCTTCTTTTTCCTCCTTCTCAGTCTGTGGGCCCTCCAGCAAACAGCTGCAACAAGGAGCATCACAACACCCGCGCACAGCAGTGCCACGGACACAACTTTGGTCTGGAGCAGCGTGTTGAAGGTGAAAGTGACCCCGGTGCCAGCCATGCCGATCACTAATGAAATCACGCCAAACGGGAACACGCAGCGGTACCAGGACTTTTCCGTTCCACCTGTAGCCTGGGCGAGTCTCTCGAGCGTCGGGAGGGATTCTGGAGGTTTCACTTTGTCTCTGTCAACGCTGCCTTCCTCTTCCTCTCTTTCTGCGCAGCCATTCAAATCCTGGTTCTGGTTTTCAGAGTCCTGTGGTAAGGTGTTGGCCTCGCTACCGTTGCCGCAGCCTAAGTCTGGGTGAAAGACCGGGGCAGGGGGCTGGCGGCCTGAGGAGCAGCCCATCTCGGAGCCGCTGTCCTTGGGAAGCAGTATATGAAAGGCTTCTAGTTGGCAGTGGACCTCTCTCAGCGTTGCAGCCGGTGATCGCTACACAGGGGACCCCCCCCCCTTCAAAAAAAAGCTGCTTCTAGTGCTGTCAATGCAAGTGAGGCTGCTGGTATTGTTGGTGTTAATACTTGCCAGCATGTGCCTGCATTTGGAGAGATGGAGAGAGAAAAGCTGAAAATAGAGAGAGGGAGATGGGAAGGGAAAAAAAGCACACAATAGACTCCAGCAATAAAAGGACAGAAACACAACAGCATTCTAGCTTAGACAGAGATTTAACACATGTATCATTCTTTATGTTTACATTTATCGAGAAACAGTAACAAAGGGAGAACAGACAACACAAAAAATGTGTTTCTAATACATGTTTCTCTCACACAGACACCTGAACACACATACAAAAAACTGCAGAGGATGCACTCACCCAGTGTTGTCAGTTTAAAACAATCGGGGACATTTTTCTAAGCAGGCTTGACTCCCGTGCTGCTCACGGCGGAAGCAGCAGCAGAAGTGTGTGTGTGTGATGTGATGCCGAAGTCCATTGGCCATATAATCACAGAGTGGAGGAGGAGGGGCTTACTTGAAGCGGGTAGACCGAATGCAAGGCTCTGATTGGCTCCCTCAGCAGAATGATTCCAAGGAGGAGGGGTGGGCATGGAGTTAACTGTTCAGACGACTCATTCAGTAATACTGATTCATTATTAAGTGTGATGAGAAATTCGAGAGTTCCCCTGAAGTAGTGCCTTGTTCTGAGTCTGCTGTAGGCTATACAGAATCAAAATATTACCGTGCCTTTCAAAAGCATCGCTCTTATCGTCATTCCAGTTTTTGTCATTTAATTGTTATAGCATTGACTGTCTGCTTGGCATGGTTTTGGAGTATAATATGCAGCACATTCTGCATTACTGGAGCCTGAGGAATGTCATGTTTTCATGTAGTTTAAAAGGGAAGCATGGCAAGGTTTAAGTTAAATAAAGCAACCAATAGTAATGAAGGGGTGTTTACCTAGCAACGACAATATCAAAGTCAAGACAGTGACATGAAATCCAGCATTTAAACGAGACGTTTCACTTCACAGCAATTCAAAACACGCCTCTCCCACTCCTCTCTTTTCCTTTCCATTGCCCTTCATCATGTGCGCCATCCGTGTTCCCCTTCAGAAGGCATGACCGCTATCCTCTTCTCATTTCCCCCCCATATATGTCTCCATTTGTTCTTGGCGCTCCTGTTTCTCTTCTCTGACAATGACATTGAGACACATGAGCCAGCAGCATGCGTCCCTGGGTGATGGCTCGTATCACCAAATATGGAGCACACGGCGCAATAATTGTTTGTGTGTGCACGTGCATGTCTCGTGCAGAAATCCAACACTCCTTGGTTACCTTCTGCCAATTTTTTTTGGTCCATACAAAAGACGAGTTCTGTTATAATTATTCAATATCCTATTCTGGTCCAGATCTCACAGGCAGAGCTGCTCTGGAGGCAGTCGTAGCAATAACATAGGATGAGTTTAATCCTCAAATAATGGAGCTACAGAGGAACGACCTTCTATATCCTAGAAAGAACTTTATATGTCACAGGCAAAAATATTATCTCTAACCATCGGATAAGGACATAAATCATATTTCTTTTAATAAAGCATTTATGCAATTTTATTTAGAAAAGCAGTTGGATTTGTCTTTTCATCTTGACACAATCATTGTGGCAGAAATGTCAGACTGTCAATCTGTACATGAGAACAATCCTCTGAAAACATTCTTCATTTTTGTTTAAAAAAAAAAAAATCTGCTTTCAGATGCCAACGTTTTTTAATAACAACCGCCATGGACACGGCTCAGCAAAAAAATATAGAACACATGGCAGGCCTGTTGTTAACGGTGTGACTTTGTGATGAACCACACATGTATGTGCACACAGCAGTACAGGATAAACATACTAAAACAAGCTACAGTAACACACAAATATTTGAGTGCACGGATGATGAGGTGGGGTTTGTTACTCCAAGTGACCCTGAACTAGCAGCACAAACAGTACTGTAGAGTCTACCTTTGTTGTTGTCAGAGTTCCAAGGCGAAATAAACCCAGTAGCACAAAAAAACAGCAGTCTTTACTTACAACATGAACATACAAGGATCAAATCCAGGCAGGCAAACGGTTGAAGGCGAGGAGACTTTATGGGCAGAGAGGCAGGCAGATGGGAGTGGCTGGGTCTGGAATTTCAGGAGCGTTAGAAAATGATACAAACAAACAAAACTGAACACATGAATGAAGACATTATAAAGCAAACTCAAACCTTGACAGTAGTCGTCTATCTTCTGGCACATGGCACAAGTGTAATAGTGAAGTTTCCTCTTCATCCCCCCCCCCCCCTAAATCCAACTGAATCCAATCCAGTGAATCCATGAAATACAATCATTAATATAAGCCTTACATCTATTATCATGTATATTAATATTTAAGTGAATCTTAGAGCTGCTCAACTTCAACATCTATAATTTACATCATCAGTCCTCCCTCTTTCATCATCTTTATGGTTGCTAATGTAAATACTAGACAGATCAGTCCATTATCACACTTAGCTGTTACTAATATAGACACACTTTCACCATGGCTCAGTCAAAAAGAGTCCATGCCAGTGATGTCCCATGTTGAAATACTAAACTTTGAAGCATTACTTAACATTTCCACAGCCTTCTGAGAACCCTTTTCATCTCTATAACCCATTTCTCTCTTCATTTAACTACTGGTGGATTAATCTGTTTACAACGTACTTGTTTGATTTTTTTTTAAATGCTTACAGTTGTGAATGATTGAGCGCTAACCACTAGGGGTAAGGTGGATGCCGCTAGCTGTTAGCTAGATGTTAGCGCAGCTTGCTCCAATCAATGTACCTAACCCCTTTGGCCCTGTATGTGTTGTTGATGGCTATTAAGAAAGGGAAAAACTAAAGAATAATATATTTGACTGCAGCATTTATTTAAACTAAATTATTTGGTAGTTGTGAGAAATAACTAACAGGCTGTTCAAGAAGTCTGCATTTTTTTTTTTTTGATGGTGAAAATGTAGTGTTGTAAAATTCATGTTAGCATTCATTAACAGGCATTGCCGTTTGTGATCACCTTATCTGACCTCTTAGCTTGTTCAGTGTTTATCATACATTGATTTGTTTGTGGTGGCTTCTACATAAATACACTTTCAAATAAGATGGCTAGCCATGGTGATGAAAAGATTGCTTCTTTATGTTGACCTGGTACATGCAGTGCACTCAGTGCTCACTCAGTTTATTATTTAAGTCTTTTGAAAAAAAAACACCACAAAGGCTCTGTATTATGCCTGCCATTTGCTGTACTCAGTAAACAGGTACAAATGAGGTTTGTGTACTGGCTCTGAATGAGGGCTGCCATTTCACAAATAAAATGCTTTTCCTTTGAAGGATAGAGGCTTCTTCACATCACATCTGTCTTCCATCAGCAGTGATAAAGCCTTTTTAAAAACAGTGGATAATCAAAGATAAAGGTCACATATTATGCAAAATGTACTTTACCGTGTCCCTGCCAGTCTATTAACTTCACAAATATGAGAAAAGTCCATCCTCTATTTTTGTTTTTTATATTATTAGTATTTTGCCTGCTCCCCTTTTATAAAATGTGTGCTCTAACAGGCTGTTTGGAGATTTTCCCTTTGTGACATCACAAAGGGTGGTAACCCCTCCCCCCAGGTGCGTGACACTCCCAAAGCTAGGTGTTTTTTTCCACCAGATGAGTCTGCCTTTCAACTGTAAACCATAAGGCATGGCGCAAGAAAGCCCAAGTCACCATATCCCTTCCAGAGAGGAGGCGTGGTCAAACACAACTCATTTACATTTAAAGCTAGAGACACAGAAACAGCCTGTTCTGAGCAGGGCTGAAATTGAGGGGTTTGTAGGCATGATCAAATACAGGATCAGAGTAGATTTTTAACGAGAAACTTCACAGAAATGTTTTGGGGAGCTCTAAGACTTATTTAAACTAGTTGAAAAGGAGGATAACATGTGACCTTTAAGCTGTAAAAGATTGTATAACTATAAACAGGAAAATATGTAGAAGATATGCTTTGGTAGTTGAGAAGTAAAAATGCTGACCCTGAGCCAAATGCAGTAGGGATTACTGCCATGGGCAATTTAGCTACCTTGGCGTTAGGTATCTATACACAAAATGCAAAGATTTAATTAAAGAGAAAGAGGCACTGCCGTTAAGGAAATTAACATTTTCTTTTGGCGTTTTATAAAAAATAGATCTTAAATCAACTTGCTGTCCAATGAAATATGTAACATCTTCTGCCCCACTTTTTTTCTGAAAATGTCAGCAATTGCATCACTACTCGTAAACACTCATGAAGCCATAGGTCAGGGGTTTCATTGTGTAATGCAGGGATTCCAAAACTTTTCTGCTTGTGACCCCCAAAAATAAAGATGCCAGAGACCAGGGAGCCCCACTCTCCCTGGAGAGGGTTAAATCATATAACTTTGCACAACACGCACTACTAGGCCTATTCAAACGCTGGTGACTCAAAAGAACAACACAAGGCTGGAAGCTTCCATGTGTAGACCTTAGCACTGAGTGGACACACAGGTGTGTTCATTTCTGTGTGTAAAAAGCAGCAGACTCCTACATTGTTGCTGTCATGTGCAAACTCACATTTTGAGGATCTTCTACACTTTTAATTTCATTTAAGCATAAATCTCACTTCATGACTATAGTTTGTTTAAAATGAATGTACTTGTTGTATAGCCTACATGTTGACATGTATGTCTAAATAATGCAGTTTTTAAATCATTCATATTTTAAATGTTTCTTTTGAAGGCATCTCACGACCACCCTAGGGGTCCTGACCCCCACTTTGGGAACCACTGGTAAAATGGACTCGTAAACACAGTACTCAGAACCCCATTTGAAGGTTTCATATCCCTGCCCATTTCTGGTAGTATTCAACAAAGCTCCAAACAGGCAAACATGTATCTGGTAGAAAACATTTCTCCTCAGAGGACATTTTGACCAACAGCTTTTATAATGGCTTTTTTCCGTTATGGAGCACTGTTTTTTTAAAGACTGCATGGTTCTCTGACAAGGGTTGCTGGTACATCTACTGATAAACAAAATTAATTATGTTTAAGATTCCTATTTAAAGCTAACATGGATTAACATGTGTTTATCAGTGACGAGTTCTTCCATGGCTTCAAAAACTATGTTGAAGTTTTTTGTAATCAACTGTCTTACCCTGCCTCAAGCTGAGGTAAGCAGCCTCCGTTAAATTCTCCAGGTGTTGAGGGAACAGATAAGGAAACCAATCAGCAGGAAAAATGCTGACCATGTTTCTTACAAGCCTTGATTAGCTTTAGGAGATTTTACTACTGGTAACACTGAGGTAAATGGCCTACAATTCACAGCACCCTTTTCAGAGAAGAATTGTGATACCCTGACTTCTATACTGAAGGCACTCAGGTGCTGTGATGTGATGACTTTTGTGTCATTGACATACAGCAT